CGTCTCACTAAGGTGTCCGCGCGCCTGCGCTCTGCATGGCTCGGCCTACCTCAGCCTCGAGAGCCCTCTTTCCACCCGGTGTTCAAGTAGTAACTCATTCACAGGCGCATCTTCATCCCATTTCCACGTGCGCCTGCGCACTAGCTCCTCGAAGAAACGGCTGCTGATCTCAGTGTCATGCGGTGGATTGGAATGCCAACAAACCTTGGTGACACCAGGAGGGGCCAGGGCCGGACAAAAGCCAGGCGTGCTAACTCAAAAGGAGTGGGGGTCCCAGGTCAGAGCTGAGATGAAGTAAATCCCTGGGACCATGAGTGGCGATTAAAGCCCCCAAAGAAACGCAGATCAACTCTTCTGTGTACTGGATGACACATTGTGTCACGAAAGTGAGATAAAGGCCACAAAGCACAAGCTTCCCTAAACCAGAGCGATCTGTGTTTTCTGCAGGTGACTTTACTGATGAAGTACGAAGAACAGAGCTAACTGCATTTGTTCTGATGGGGCATGACCAAGAATAACGAGTAACTAAGCTTCTTTGAATACAGGTTTAGTACTGTCATTTGGTTCTGGAAGAATCATTAGTTTTACCTGGCAGCCAATGAACGATCAAGTCGATGTCTGGACTAAAGCTTAAATGAGTGCAATTTTTCTGCATTATAGTCTTAGCCTTAACTGCCTGTAATAGACTGTGTGGCAACCCACACCCCTATTATCATTTTTAAAACATCCACTAGGGTTATATTTGAAGGCTGGGCCTTTGAGGTAATGAAGCAGAGCCTCACAGATTAGTGCCCCTACGAAGGGAACCCTGGAGAACTCACTTACATTCAGTCTCTAATATAAAATGAGATGTTAGCTGTCTAGAACCCAGAACAGATCTGTTGTCCCAACTCTATAGTGCTGGCATCCAGACTGTTTTGGGGAGTGGTGAGGATATAATGAATTTGACATGAACATGGGAACATCCCATGTTAATATTTCTCAAAAAGGGAATTTGGAATGTAAACAAATGTGGGAAGGAACACAAGAACGCCTGGGACCTTCTTCAGCTTCTACAGAATAGGGTGATGTTCCTATACCTCGACTGTTTTTCTGAAGACAGACATTGTTATGATTTACATAACCTTGAGCATGCTGGCCTGTGAAGCAGGCTCCCCTGCAGAACTGTAAATCTGTAGCTCTTGTTTTCAAAGGAGGTGAAAAATAAAAAAAACAAGCCTTGTCATGCAGATTGAACTCAAGTGCTGGGCTGCCTTAAGCCCCCTGGTTTCCAGTTCTCCCAGAATTAATCAGGAGAGGCAACTTGGCCAACCTCTCTCAGTTTGTGTTTGAGATAGAGTTTTACCATGTACCCCTGGCTGGCCTCACAGAAATCCATCTGCCTCTACCTCCCAAGTGCTTCGATTAAAAGTATATGTGAGCTGGGCGTTGGTGGCAGATGCCTTTAATCCCAGCAATCGGGAGGCAGAGGCAGGTGGATCTCTGAGTTCGAGACAAGCCTGGTCTACAAGAGCTAGTTCCAGGACAGCCTTCAAAGCCACAGAGAAACCCTGTCTTGAAAAACCAAAAAAAGAACGTATGTGAACTACTACACCTCACCCTAGTATTTCTTTAGGGACCTATCTTGAGAGCAGCTGGATCACTCCCTTGTGAGAACTCCTCTGCCACTGCTTTTGGGGAAACTTCACATATTCTTTTTTTTTTTTTTTTTTTTTTTTAAGATTTATTTATTTATTACGTATACTGTCTTCTGCCTGCATGCCAGCAGAGGGCACCAGATCTCATTCAAGGTGGTTGTGAGCCACCATGTGGTTGCTGGGAATTGAAATCAGGACCTCTGGAAGAACAGTCAGTGCTCTTAACAGCTGAGCCATCTCTCCAGCCCCTGAAACTTCACATATTCTATAAGATAAAACATGCATAAAATCTGCAACTGTGAGAACAAATTACTATTTATAAAGTACCCATGACTGGTGAGATGGCTGGGTGGGTATGGGCTCTTGCTGTCATGCCTGCTGAAACAAGTTTAATCCCCAGGACCCACATGGTGGAGAGAACCAACTTACACAATTTATCATTTAATCACCCACATGCCATAGGGTGTATGCCACTCTGCTAATTAAAGTACCCAGTCTGAACTGGGCCTGGTGACAAGAGTCTGTAATCCTAGGTCCCCAAGAGGCTAAAGCAGGAAGGTTGGTTGGAAGTTCAAGAGCTGCCTAGGCTTACAAAGAGATCTGAAAGCTAGTCTGGGCAACTTAGCAAGGCCCTGCCTCAACATAAGAAAGAGAAACAGAGCCACATCTTAATGATAGAGAGGTCTCAAGTTCCATCCCTAGTTTGAAAAATTATCCAACCTGGTGCTCTCTGTCATCCCAAACAGACCAAGACAACCCCATTTTTGTTCATGTCTTCATTCTGAACACATGCTGAGAACCTGCCAACAGCTTGTGAGGCACCTAGTACAAGCCCTGAGTTCATATCCTGGCTTTGGAGGACACAGCTGGAACTAGATCCCTCAGAACAAGATCACACTAGGTGGTGGTAGCACACGCCTTTAATCCCAGCACTCGGAAGGCAGAGGCAGGCGAAGCTCTGTGAGTTCGAGACCAGCCTGGTCTACAAGAGCTAGTTGCAGGACAGCCTCCAAAGCCACAGAGAAACCCTGTCTCAAAATAAAAACAAACAAAAAGAACAAGATCACACTAGGGATGGATGTATTACATGGATGGACCCAAGGGGAGCTGCACAGTTAAGGGAGCAGCAGTCATGTGGGCCACAGTAAAAAAGGAGCAAACCAGCCATCTCCCAGGAAAGATCTCCAGAAAGCAAGATAGCAACTTCTGGGGCCCTCACCGTTGACCAGGTATGCTAAGGACATAGAAGGCTCAGCTGCACTGTCTGACCACAAAATGCTTCACTAGGTGAAGCTAAGAGGGAAGCAGGGCTATGGGGCTGGGAGGGTATGGGACAAGTGTCCACACCAGTTTGGAGAAACTGACTACAGCCATGAAGGGCTATCTATGGTCACAGGCCTGCTTTTGAAGTTAGGTATTATATGCACTCTTGCATCTGGAGGAAGCCAGTGGGATTCAACATCAACATCAAGATGTACAAAGGTTCTGACAGCTGTTTATAGGCTTTGGTTTGTGTGGCCACTTATTCTGCAGATTGGAGCAGACAAGGGACTCCAGACACAGCCTGGCCGGGCAGCGACAGCATACGCCTTTAATCCAGGAGGCAGAGGCAGCCTGGTCTACAGAATAAGTTCCAGAACAGTCAGAGCTACACAGATACCTGTCTTGAAAACAAACAAAAAAGACACATAGCTTGGCCACACTCCTAAATCCCCAAGGACAGGAAAGTGTTTCTCCCTGGGTAGCCTTTTAGGGAAGGACCTGTAAAGGGAAGGGGTGAGAAAGATCACTGCAGGCTATGTGTGATCTAGGAGTTTAACTTGGAGGTTCCTAGGGGTAGGCAGGTAGAGCTTGCCTGGGTGCTTCCTGTCCATTGTCCATATACTTCACAACTAACTTTGTATCAGTGTTTAAAACCCAGAGGTTTGAAGCTGAGTGTTATGGCATACACCTTTAATCCCAGTACTTACGAGGCAGAATAAGGCCTGGTCAATGTAATGAGTTATAGACCAAACGGGGTGAGACTTTTGTCTTAAAAGAATAAAACCCAAACAAATAAAAAACCCACAGGTTTGACCTAAATGGACCCTAAACCCTCTGATCTGTTCTAACTCCAGAGTCTTTCAATCTGGCTTTGAGCTGGCAGGTATTTTCCAGAAATGATGAGGGCTGGACTAACTACATAAAAGAAGACAATGACAGGAGGCTATAGTTTCAAAAATGTATAGTTTACAGACAGATGCCTCTCCATCCTTACAAAATGTCTTTTGTGTGACTCCCTGACATAGTTACTTCTTGGTCTTGGTCCAAAACTGTTTGTATCGTTCCATGTCAAAACTGTCAATCATCTCTGGCTCTTCCTCCCTCTTCTGCAGAAGCTGAGCCTCACGTTTCCGGAGCCGGGCCCGGCGCTCTTCTGGAGATAGGGCATCTAGGTCTAGGGGCATCTGCATGGGGACAAGTGAAGGTGTACATGCCATTGGGGAGAGTCAGGATAGTGACTGGGGAAGACACCTGGACCTCTTCTACCTATGCCTTCTATCCTGTGCTGACCTACTCGGTATAGATTTGGTTGGCCTTGCTTTCCCTTCAAAACAATGGTTTTCTACTCTTTTTCCCCTAGATTTAATGTATGTTTTTTTAAGACAGAGTTTTAATTAGTCCAAAAAAGCCTTGAACTCACAAAGATCATCCTCAGCTTCCAGAATGCTATGATTACAGATGTGCCACCATGCCTGGTTTTATGTGGTCCTGGAACTAATGGCTTTGTGTCTCGTAGGCAAGTACTCTACCAACTAGAATACACTCTAGCCCAGATTTGGTATTTTGTTTTGTTTTTAAACGGACTTGTTAAGCCTGGCTTGGTGACACAGGCCTATAATCTCAGCACTTAAAGAGGCAGGAAGATTGGAGGCCAAGGTCAGTCTCAGTATGTAAAGTTCAAAGTTAGCCTGGTTTTCATAAGACCCTGTACCAATAAAACAAGAACACCCCCCCCCCCAATATAACTAATCTGTTTGTTCTAATTTTGGTGACTGGAGTTTTTGGTGTAAATTCCTCTGACAACTTGTCCCCCTAGTCCTCTGAAGTAGTATAGTGACTTTAGCTACATATGCAACTCCAATCCCAAGTACTGGCACTGAGCCCCAATACTATGGTTCAGCAAGTACCTGCTGAAAGAAGCTTACCGCTAGCATTCGTCGTGGCTCCCGGTATCGGATAGTGGAACCATCCTGCTTGACCAACAACACAGGGTAGAGGCGAGCATAGGCCTGGCGGCGCAGTCGAGTAAGTGAAGCTCTGCTGCTGTCAGCTGTCCAAGAGGATGTGTGGAGGTGGCAGGGTGCAGGAAAGGCTGTCCTCACAGCACAGTGCCTCAGTTGGCTACAGACAGACATGCAAACTCTGGTTGATAGATAGTAGTGAGCCAGATGGCACCAAGTGCCAAGCCAGCCAGTCACTGCCAGGGTATGACAAGAGAACTGCCCAGCAACCAGACACTAGCAAAGATTGATAATTCATATTTAGAGACCTCTGTTGAGCTATTAGCATAGTCAAAGCAGTCTATTGTGGGTGGCTCAGGGCACAACAAGCCTTCCAGCACTGAGGAAAGGGGATAATAGCCCCTTCCTGGAGAGGACAGGGTGTCTTGGAATATACCTGAGGGGACTGGAATTCCATGCTTACCCAAGCAGGCTAACCAAAGGCATTGTTTTTCTTAGAGCTGTGGTGGCACGAGGAAACAGTCACTAGCCCAGATGTAGGACCTGCTAGGTAAGGGGAAAAAAACAAAACTTATTTTTCCACTTATTGTCCTAAATCTTGGCCTGGATCTAAGTCAGACCCAGGTGCATTTCTAGCAGCATATCCAGTTGTCCCTTGGTACTCATAGGGAATTGGCTCCAGGAGCCCCCTACAGATAAACTGACAGATTGTTAGCCTTTTGCTGTACAATGGCATAGTATTTACATATAATCTGTGCACTGGTTCTCAAGTGCCTTAAATCACTTAGAATACCTAAAAGAATACAAAGCCAGGTGTGGAAGTGCATGCCTGTATTTCCAACACTAGAGGCAGAGGCAGAGGCAGGAGGTTCAGGAGTTCAAGGCTATCCTATCACACAGGGAATTAAAGGTCAGGCTGTGTTACTTGAGACTCTCTATCAAAAAAGTGAAGCAAACAACCTGAGAGTATACAAAAGTCAAACAACAGTTATTAAACCATTTTGTTTACAAAACAAAAACCCTAGGTTCAATGTAGACTCAAAAACAAAACAAAAACAAACAGTTTCAGTCTGTGGTTTAGATTCTCGGTTATGGAAGACCAGGTAAGACATCAATGTGTCACCTGCCAGTCTATCGTACTGCCTTCCTGGCCTCGAATTAGTACAGCCTGTGGAGACTTTTTACAAAAGCAGCTACCAAGGTCCTATCCTCCAAAGAATGAGTCAGTCTTCAGCAGGACCGAGGCCCACCCATTCCTGAAGGTTATGGAATCAGAACCTTCCCCTGTGCGGTGTGTGGTTCACTTTTTTTTTTTAAACATCGTTTTAGTTTTCATAACAATACGTCGAGGTGACCATTATCAAGCCTGCTTACGGACGGGAAAAGAAGCTAGGGCTACTTTCTCCAATGCCGCAAACTCCCAGAGTGGTCTAAGCAGGTGGAAGTCGAGTGTCCTACACTCAGCAAGATTAAACCAGGCAGAGGATATAGATTAGGAGGTTCCCACCTTGGGAGGGAACCGAGAGGCCCGCCGCCTCGAAAGCGGCGATCCTGCTGGTCATTGTCCCAAGTCCCTCCCCTTCTTTTCCTCTCTAGCAACGACGAGACCCAGCGTCATCTATAGAGAAGCCCCCTCCCATTCGCCCCACACCACAGCTCAAGTCGCCCTCCCTTTCACTCCTCAGTGATGGGCCGGTTGTTGCCGGCGCCCAGGAGACTCCAACCTGCGGCCGCCACCTTAG